AGGAAACATTACCTGCAGGTATTCCAGGTTGCATGCTATTTTAATCAACCTAATCTCTGGTCGGCACCTTTGAAGGTAGTTTTTGTGCTACTCTTTTGTCTTAATCGATTCTTATTTCCATATTTGGTTCTGCATGGTCTCCTTTAAAGAAAGTGGTTTTTAAAATCCCGACTACATAGAAAGGTCTTTTGTTTCAAATTCCTTTTTCACCTCGAACCACAATAACTACTTTTTGTGTTATATTTTGGCTCTTGTGTTATCCATCATCTTTCCTATGCATGAAAGTCCTAATTAAACACCGTTTGAATGGTTGTAAAACAGGTACTTTAAAACTAACTGGTTTTGCTCCTAATCGAATCATGAAAAATGTCAAATTAACACCGCAGTGAAATGTTCACCCCTAAAGTGTAATGGTCTCCATATACTTATGAGCCCAATCTTTCTTTTACACTGTTCTGCAACATTCAGTGTCAGTATTTATGGCATTTGACTGTATTTATAATAGCAATTGTGAAATGACAGTATTGTACAACAATGTAGGGTCTTTAATTAAAAGCTATTTTCAAAATAATAAGTCATCAAGGGACTGATCTAGGTGCTCTGACCTTCCATTAATAATCCATAAATAAGGGTTTGTTTAAAACAGGAAAATTCCTTGGAATTTTTATACGGAGTGTTTATTGCTTTCTCTTTCTCCTATGCGGAAATTTTTCGTGCCCTGTAGCTATCTTTCGAGTTGAAACAATACCAAAACACAAAAGAGTTAATGTGACCTTTTTTCTCTTAAGTTCTTTAAAAATCTTTCTTTGAAGCAAATTCCTTCACGAATGTGCTTGAATTCAAGCCCTAGATATTCCCTGTTATGATAGAAATCGGTTAAAAACGTGTCAAGGCCAGGCTAACAAGCCATTGGAAAGATATACTTTCGAAGGTTTCTTGTGGAGGGCCATCATTTAATATCAGATTAAGTCGTGTTTTTTTTTTTTTTTAACCGGTTTCAATTTGAATGTGTTTTCACTTCCATTGCCGCCAGCTATAGGAACCTGTCGAAACCTGCACTTGCAACTTTTGAGTTGAGGAACGAACTCATATAGTGTGACCATTCAAACGAAACCTCTTTAAAAGCCCTTTTGCACTGCCCTTGATATTTTCAAGGTTTTTAGTAGATGAAACGGGGTTGTTAATTTTGCATTTTTTATGAATGGAATTCTGTCGGTCTAAAGATAATTCTCTGTTCTCTTCGTTCTCTTTCTCGAATGCGGAATTTTTTCGTGTCCCGTAGCTTGCTTGCACCTTCATACAATAACAAGTACTTGTTTTGCTCAAAATGGATTAATATGCAATTTCTTTTGTCAAGGTGTGAATTCTTGCACGAAGAAAAGAAAGTAGGTACTCCAAATGCGCTATTATCAATATTGATCATTTAAACTTATAGAAATGTTCTAGACAATAAATTTATTAGGCCATCAAAAGACGAATAGTTCGATTTCTAGCTGCTGTCTGGTTTTATGCCTCGCAATGTCAAATTTTAGTTAAAAATTTACCACAAGCATGCAACAATCATTTTGAAATACAGTTGTTGATTTGAATACATCAATTGCTCGTTATGCACTTAAATTTTTACTCAATAGTTAGTCTGTGACCAGCATTAATCCCTTTACTATTTGTCTTAAATGCAGGTTCTCTGCAGTTGAGTTCAAAGTAGCTGTCCTTTTTAATCAGAAATCGAAGTGACTGACATCGCCGTTGAAATCTGGAAAAAAATAGGGTTGTGTTTGCGTGCACGTTTCGGGGAAAACTATCTAAGTGTTTCAAAAGTTTATAACTTTACCTTCTTTCTTTTCTTCTTTTTCGTTCTTTCTCTTTTTTAAGCACCTTTCGCAGCGCGCGTAATTTATTTTGCGTGTAAGTTATTCATCTAATGGATAATAATTATAAATCATGGAACTTGATTAAGTAAATTTATGTTGTCACACATTCTTCACTGTACACAAAAAAATCAATGAACCTCATCCAATGTCGCATATTATTTAGTATATGCAACGGCGAGGATAGCTCTTGCGCCGGCCCGAAAACCATATCGGATAAGCTGATTTCAAAGCGATTTGTCAGGTTAACGGAGCTTAAGCTGCTCGTTGCCGAACTAGGAAGTGGAGCGTCACATATCGGTTAAGTTTTGGTTCATTGTTAACAGGTATAGGACAGTCGCGAAAGTGAAGTAGGAACGAGGACTGGAATCAACTGAGACAGTAATAAATATTCATGAGTGAGGCCTGGGATTTAGACACACCAAACCCTCTCGGCCAAGCGCTCCGGCACGATGTTCGATGTGTGTGAACGACCTTGTTCCAGTTCTGTTCCGTTGCTGTTGATACTATATCAGATAGCTTTTCTTGTTATCTGGCCTGCGTAGCAAGCGTTTCCGTGCGGTTTACGAGCAAAGAACGAGGAACGAGAGTCAAAGACCGCGCGAAAAATGGCTCTTGTTTCACTTCTCGCGCGGCCAAAACCGAGAATCCCGTTCCTCGGTCTTTCTTTGCTCCGAAACCAAACGGAAACGCTTGCTACGCAGGCTACTTGTTATCCGAAAAGCTATCGGTAAAGTGTGAACATAGACTTCAAGTATCATTGCGTGCAATGGTAGACTTGATCATGTTTGCCCCAAAATACTCGAAAAAAAGTTTGATCTTTTAAAGTAAACATTAGATAAATTAAACTAAACAATACTTTCCTGCAGGTCACGTTTGTCTGAGCTATCTCGGAGATCACTACGTACTTTTTGAAAGAAAAAAAATTCCGAAAACATTAAAAAGAAGCGAAATTATCAATGTTTAATTTGAATAGAATTTATGGTATTTTATTTTTTCCAAAAAACATATAGCGGCAATGGTATAGATATACGCTCCAAGCGATCGAGTAGCTGAACCTGATCTGCCAACGTTTTTCTGATACTGAATTTCCTATGAAATGGTTTCAAAAGCTTAGTGATTCTTTTGTGGCAAAAATTATCCAAAATATAACAACTGGACGAAAAGCAAAGACAACAGTATGGATTATTCATTAGTCATTTCTCTTTAAACTTTATTTTCTCACCTTAAACTTTGTCATTACATATTGAAAAGAACAATTTTATTTTTCCTTTCTATTTCGTCTTTCATAATTCTACAGTACTGATTCATGGTTGACTTTCGAGTATCTTTATCGTGCAGGGCCAAGGTCCTCATCCCTCTTTAAAAGTCTGTAGATTAACACAATACAATACATTTTATTAATTCTCCCAATTAGGTTTTTCAGAATTAATTTACAGAACTCATTAGGCTAAGTAATGTACGAAATAACTAAAAATTACAGGTATAAAAGACAAACTTAAGTTACAATTGAATTTGAATGCTAAAACTAAAATTATGAAAAATTAAAAAGTTTAAATAAACAATTAATTAAAAAAGATCAACAAACTACTGGTAAATGCTCTATTTTCGCATTCTGATCTCAAGCCTGGCACCCCTTTTAAAAACCTCAACAGAGGCAGAGTTTCTCATATCATTGAAAAGACTGTTCCAATATTTAAAAGCCCTGAGTTTCTGGGTGTTTTACAATCAAAAGTACTTAAGTAACTGGGTGCAAGACGATTGAGACATTTAAAGATCTGGTTACATAAGTGTAGTAGCTCTTCGATGGTGAGTCAACCAAGTCCATGGTGTAATGTGATCAAACTTTTTTTTGTGTTAGAAAAAGTACACAAACCTACTCAGTCAGCAATGAATTTGGTGATGTTTCTTGGTGTCACGCCGGATTGCGCGATCACCTAATAATGTCCTGAATAGAAAATGTTTGAAAGGCTGCTGAACGATACACAGTCGGATCAGGAAGTTGTCCGGGAAAATAAAATTTCCCAAGGTCAGGGAAAAGTCCGGTAATTTCACTTCGAGTCAGGGAAAATTGAAGTCTTTGAAAGAAGTCAGGGGAAGTGAAATTTTAAGAGTACATTTGTACATTTTACGGACATGAATCGTGTTTTATTGGTACAATTTTTTCATAAAATTGAACAACAAGCTGATGTTGGGTTTCAAAAAAATCAATCTTTTTTGCACGGTTATGTTGAGGAACTATTAATTCATGTACATTGCATGTGCCTTGCTGAAAGCATAAATAAATGGCTGGAGAGGATCAGGCTGTGAGGGGGGGAGGAGGGGGGTGTTGAGTCCATCATCTGGACTAATTTGTGAAACTGTTAATTCAGTTGGTCAGGAAAATTTTACATTTGTCAGAAAAGAGTCAGGGACTTTCAGAAATCTCTGGCTGTGGCAACCATACACATAAAAATAGCTACACCAGTTTTTATTGTTCATTACGTACAGTTTAAAAATAGTGTTTGCGATGTTTCATTCTTCATTCCGATATTCCAACTCACTTTTTAGTCATTAACGCAGGCGAACCTTCCTGAAGTCGAATTCCTTCGAACAATATCCAAGTTCAGAAAAGGGAAGAAAAGTTCGTCGTCGCTAGCGCGGTTTACGTCCTTCATAAAACGTTAAATTAGGAATTTTCGCGTCGTAGTTATGGAGTGGCGGGAAAGAAATGCACAAAAAATGGTGATGCACGTACAGTTGTTGTTTTGCGTATGCCTTTTGCGTTCGTCAAATTTTCGTTGCCGTCTATTCCAATACTGACCTGCTAATGCCATGGTGGCTTAGATATTTAGGGCTGGTTATAAGAATGAGGCTTAGCCACTCTTTATTTGTGCTCGACAGTGGTAAGAGGGCGTTAGGTGCAGTCCCAAACACGTGTGTGAGACTTACTTTGAAAGAAAGAAAAAATAACACAGCTTTAACTTTTGAACCTTTTCTGATCTTAAGCGGCTGGCTTTACAATACCCTGTTTAAAACCATGTACAAACTTTGCATTTGCACGTTGAAAGTATTGAAATAAATAAGTCGTTTGTAAAAAGGTATATGACTTTGCTAAAGCTCTCCAAATTATGACATTTCTGTTTAATTTTGCTAGCGAGAGTTACCTTGAATTGGTTCTCCCTCATCTGTGGGCGGTGCCCCAGATCCCTCGGTTGGACTTGCTCGGGAAAGGGAGGGAGGAGTTTGTGAGGTTAACATCTGTGGGGGTGGCATATAACGGCCTCTGAAGCACCAAGGCACACCCTGGACTGTGTGGTCAAAGCAGCATCCATAGTACTTTTCGCACTCATCCCGATGTATTCCAATATATCCACAATCCTCGCGGTTCTTGATGCCGTAGCATTTGTGACCTGAAGAAAGTCAATAATTTTTCAGATACTTTTTTTTGACCCCACAAATAATTAGTTCTCGAGTTAAAAAAAGAAGCCCTCAGCTTCAATTATACCATGCTGTGGTAATGTTTGCTTCAGCTCGCAAGAAATGTGAATCTTGATTTTTCTTAGGAAAAGTCTATCAACTAGTTTATTATCTTTAGATCAAATTTTACTTCGAGTTTTACTCTTTGCTTCAGTATTCATCTTTGTGGACTTGTACGGACAGTACGACCAACCTATGTGGGTCTACCTTAAGAGTAATGAGCTATCGATAGTAGAAAAGATTCACTTATTAGAAGGTTACTCCAAGCGTTTGCTTTTATAATGGCCGCGTCAAATCCTGATTAACAAGGGCATACTTACTCTTCGGGTAAAAGCAAAACTGAGCTTTTTTGGTCTTATCATCCCAACAACAGCCTCTCTTGTTACATTCGGCTTTATTGATACCGAACCATCCACAGTCTGTACGATCTTGGGCCTTAACGCCACATTCCTCTCCTATTCAAACATAGATACATGCAGCAAAGATTAAAGAAATTATTGTATAAATTTCCAATAGCTACCATGGTTGATTACTCTCACTAATTAAGAATTATAATTTTATTATATCAACCATTTCAGTAGTACAATTGCAATTAAGGTTCCCTTAAGACGGGTTGATTTAGCACGCCATTCATTTAAGGAATCAAACTCTGTCCTTACTGTTTCTGAAACACCAAGGAACGTTTTGAACGATATCATCCCAACAGCATCCACGATGCATACACTCTTCTTTCTGTATCCCGTAATAACCGCAGTCATCCCGGCGAAGAGGATCGATACCATCACAGGGGTAAACGAGCTCTAAGTTTGGCAAAGAAAGAAAGTGATGAAAGCTGTTTAAACTCTTTCAAAGCTCACTGATATTTTGATGAAGGAATTCAGTAGAACTGAAGCAGTTAAAAAATCGTTATTGATGGTAGTCTATTCATTTTTAGTAAAATCCAGCGAGTGGTCAGTATTATCAATGCTGCGTTCTGATTGGCCGAGCTACTACTAGGCTATATGTAATAGCCCACTAGTAGCGAAAAGGCGCCGGCTTTTTGGAGGCAAAAAAGAATTAAAAGTCCAGCTCTAACTAGATAAAGTTATTTTGTCTCGATATTTTTGACCAACTAGTTGGATTTTACTAAACGAATGGCCTCTTAGTCAATAGCCCATTCGGCCTTCGGCCTCATAGGCTATTGACTCAGAGCCAATTCGGGCTCGAGGAATAATAGTTAATAAGCTGAACCGTTCCTTACGGACACTTCACCATGTATTCTTTGATTCATTAACATATTCTTTCAACTAATTCTTGAGATGACAAGAGCATTAACTAAGTACAATCTCATCGTAAGAGTATAGCATTTCAAACTTAATTTCATAGATGTGAATACTAAGTGACAGCTTAATTTTTAGTATCCATTTTCTAGTTTTCTTTGTTGATATCATGTTTACTTAGTTTCTGCAGCTTTTCACCAAAAGATCGTTGCCTAAACCGCGATCCCGGTGAAGTGTAGCATCTCAGAGAATGCACTTAGTGGTCCATTAATAGTAATGTATATTAGATTTATGTACTTCTTATCTACCTTAAACAATAAAATTTAAATGAATATGCCTCAACCCATAGTATAGAAATCCAGACATTCATACCGTAATATATTCGATCACCGTAATAGACTTGGAAAAGAATTCTTGCCCATACCTCTGTATCACTGAACCCCCGCAGCACACCCCTTTAAGAAGCTATTGTTCAGCCCATGAAATTTAATGTTTTATAAAGGCTGGTAAATGTATATTTACGAAACTCTTTGGCTGCGTCCATTTTACAGTTTATGTTCATAGGTCAACCTTTCCGTCTAAAAAGGAATCCACCCAAGGCAAATGATAAATGAGGCCGATTTTTGTGTTCAGAATGTGTTTTCTTTGCAAAATCTGAGTAGTAAACGTTACATGTTAACAACCCTTTTAAATTATGTACAAGTCAATTCCAAAACAAATTTCTAGGTGCTGCGTATCAAATTTTTAAAATTTTGACCAAAGGTGGAGTGTGGAAAACTAGGTCGTCATAACCACATTTTCTCGGATCCATATGTTTCTATTTTCTATAGCTATGGGGCTCCGTTGCGCACACTTCGCGCGAGCATATGATCCGCTATCACGTGCTCAACACATTTGCTAAAGGGTATCGAGAGCGTCATTCGGGTGATTACGGTTACGGACGTTTTTGGAAGATAATTATGAAAAGCTTGCTGTACCATTAAACCGTTAAAAGTTATATTCCTTGTATTCTACTTTGTTTCTGCAAACAGGCCGCTTACCTGAAATGGCTGGGTACCCTATGAAAAACAAAGAGTTCTTGTGAGTATTAGGATGACTTTGAAAAGTAAATAAATAAGCAACTAGTAAGCCACCTGATTGAAATTACACGACCCCCCCCCCCCCCAAAAAAAAAAAAAAAAAAAAAAAAAAAAAAAAAAAAAAAAAAAAAAAAAAAAAAAAAAAAAAAAAAAAAAAAAAAAAAAAAAAAAAAAATAAAAATTTTTTATTTAATAAAAATTTTTTTTCAGATTTTTTTACGTGGA